AATGTACGTTTTTCGTACGAGTCTTCGATGCTACACACCTCGAGAGAGATAGAAAGATAGACGGAGAGAGAGAGAGAGAGAGAGAGTTAACTGAAATGAATTTTTGTCGAACGTATTAACGATCGATCTCTGTTTCGAGCAGATATCGTTACCGTCCCGTTTCCTTTTCGTTTCGCCGCGAAACGTTTTCGATCTTTCTCTCGGGGGCGATCTTCTCGGTTTCCGTCGACACTTTCGGGCGCCACGTTTCCCAATTCCACGAAACGCCCCCTTTCCCATTAACTTCTACCGGTTGCAAGTGCGATATGTACCAACAGATAGTTACATCTTATGTATTATTTATAATATATCTATATATATATGCGTATATCTATATTTATATTTATAATACTTCTTTCTGCGCCGAGTTTCGTCGCTCTTTTCGGAGTACATATAGATTTTTTATACACACTCTTTGTCGGGATAACATCTTGCTGGTTTTATCGTCGTCGTTTCTATAAATCGTTAACTATAAATTACCTAGGTAAGTCGAAGAGCCGAAAAAATCGACCGAATCGCGGTTCAACGACGATCGGCTTTGTTGGATGAAGGATAGGAATACCGAGTCGGCGATCTTCGAGTAATTCCACGTCTCCGTTCGATGTTCACCGGGATTCGTCCCGATCTTTCCGATTATGCACTTTCAGTATACTTTTCGAGGACTGTCGATAGAAAGATTAAAAATGATATCTGGTTATCATTCGGCAGGTACGGGCCGCTGTTGATCCACTCGAATCGGACATCGAGTGAACGCTTGAAGAGACGAAACGATACTCGGTTAATTAACTGGACGAACACGCGAAAAATTCCACGGCGAAACAACGATTACTCCGATGCTGATCGAAAGTAAACTAGAACCGACTGGGGAATGCGTTATTTAACGAATGCCGATTACATCTCGTGAGAAGATCGGACGTTGTTGAAGAGAAATTTGAAAAAAAAAAAAAATGCAATTTCCTGAACGGACTTAAGTCGCCGTAAAAGAATCGTCGATTTCAGGACACACATTTCTCCGTCGAGAAGCTCTTCCAGCGGAGCGTCGCACCTGCGGATGCATCTTATAGGAGCAATTTAATAAGATCCTTCTGATCCTTAACCCAGCTGCGCGCGCTCGGTTGGCTCGCGGGAAAAGAAGAGAAAAAGAACGAAGAACGAATAACGAGCGGGAGAGAAAGCAGCAGCTGGGTTCCCGTCAGCGAAACTTGAATCCTTGAACCGTGAGTTTCGTGATTAACCTCCTATTAATCGTTCTTAGCGTTTAAGAATAGTTATCGATCGATAGTGCTTAGCGGCTAGTGCGTAATTAGTACGGTCGAGATACTTTATAAATCCTGTTGGTAAATGTTCGTGACCAACTTACACGCAGCGTAATACATTTTCATTCGGTGGAAATCCTCTTTCGTCGCCACATCCGTCGGAGGATGGTAAACACCGGTGTCACGGTATCCGCGACGATCGAAACCATTGTGTGTTCACAGTTTTGCGGAGAATCGATCGACGAGCTTATCGTCGAATCGAATGGACGAGACCCTATATGAAGCAATGTGATTCGCGGGTGGTTATTTTGTTGGACGAACTGAACTTTCTTTTCTAAACAAGTATATCGGTCACGTGTGTTTCACGAGTATAAGAATAGACCTTTCATCCAATGTATTTCTTCGGCCCACTTTTCTGGGGCAATGTTGCCTCATTACCACCAGTTTAGTGCCACTCCCCACCGTAGATTCATCTTTTTCGCAATGTAGAGATCAGTAAAATCACAAGCTTGGTGTCGTCGCTACACTTTAGGTGGGCCACCAACTCCCATAAGATGAATGGTCTATTCTTATACCCCGTCGGTGATCGTACTCTCCTAGGCGGACGCAACCACGGTCCCATTACAAAAAACATTACACCGATATACATGACTGGACCGTTGCTAAAACGAGTACAATCTTCGAGACTCTTTTTCCATGAGACTTGAACTCGCTCTCTGTATTCGAACGATATTACCGGAGCCGGATTCACGTGACAGGGAGAACAGTTCGAGGGTGCATCCGGAAAAATTTCACACGCCCGAGCGTTCCTTACGCCTTTACTCCAACTCTTTTTTTTTTCTCGTCGAGATCGCCAAGGAATCGCCCGTGAAAACTGCAACGAGATCCGTCTCCGGTGGAAATTGATCTTTCGTTACGGTAGCGTCGTTCCTTTCAAGGATCGTCACCAAAGGAACTTCGTCGGAGTTTCGTGGAGCACAAAGAAATTCAACGGACAAAAGAATCGTCCCGCCTTGTTCTATCCCAGGTGAGAGATTCGCGAGCTGGAAAATAGACGAAGAGGAAAAGAAACGTTGACCGGAAAACCGATTCCCCGCGTTCGACGAGCCACTGGATCGGAAAGGGAAGTTAACGCGCCTTTAATGAATTTTCGCGCAGAACTTTTCACAGATCGGTCGATGAAAAGAAGCAAATCGAACCGGGGACGAATACGGGGGGCAGATGTGCAGGTTCCAAGTCGTCGAGAGAGGCCCGTCGAGGACCACCGTGGCGGGGGAAGAAAAAAAGAAAAAGGCGATAACGTAGGAGGGTGGTAACCAGAGAGAGGTAGAGTCACGGGTGAAAAAGCTGGGATTAAACAAAAGGATGGAAATAAGAGCAAGAGCATGGGGAAAAAAAGAAAAGAGATTCGGAGGTGGATGACCAGAAGAGAGAAGAGACGGTCCAGGAGGGAAGAAAGGAATACGAAGGACTGGCAAAAGGGTGGATTCTAGTTTGGCGCTCGGCCCACGCCACTGGAAAAGAACGTTCATTTGTCTTCTCCGCAGTGTAGTTCGTGTTTCGCCACGACTCGAGGATGGCCCTTTCCCGCTGCGAAACAATGCTCTCGAGCCCACGAAAATCTTGGAAAGCATAATAGGTGCCCTCGAAAACCACCATTTTCGTAGGATTTTTATTCTTTTCTCTTCGAGACTTCTCCCCTTCCCTTCCTTTTCTATCGTTCTTCTTGTTTCTTCTTTTGCTTCTCGTTCCTGGCGCTCCACTAGTCTTTCGTCGAAAGTTGAAGTGGTATTCGTCGATCGGGGATAGAGGAGACGATCGTCTCGCGGAGGCGCTTTTGTCAGAGACTCTTGAATGTTTCATGAGAGACAAGAGACAGAAAACAGAGCGGTTTTCATTATCTGTGCCCCACCTCCACCCCCTGCCCCTGCCTTGTATTTCCGTTACATCGATGTATAAATTATTCCCGTCTTTATCCTTGTCCCGAAACGATCTCGACAAGCACCGGAACCGATAATAATCCTTCGCCGTTTTTATCGTTCGCGACGTGACTCTCGAAGTCTGATCGTCCCGCTGGAGAAAGGAGACGAACGTTTCTCTATTCTCGCTTCCGTCGATATTCCCCCGTAAGCGTTATATGTATACATATAACCACGACAAAACGTTAAACGCCCGATGACAGCTCGCTTCCCGTTCGTCCTTTAACACATTCACTGCCATAATGGCCATCGATGATCGGAACCTTTAAATTACAAGAAAAAATATTCAATTTCTAAATAGGGTCATTTAACATTTCGCGAATACAATTACTAGTAAAATAATAAAAATAACAAAGACAGAAACTAATGCATTTTATTATGATATTGTCACAAAAGTAAAATCTGCGGCAGCCAACGCGGTAAACGTCGTCGCATTAAAACACGCATTGCATTAAAATTAACGAAAATAGCTGCAAAGTGTACACATGTGTGCACTAGAAATTCGATCGAAATTTTATAGGCATCACGACGAAACGTTTGATTCGCGCGTTAACTCTTCTTTTCGCTTTCGGGGTAGGAAAGGTCCGGATGTCACCATTTGAAGTTAGGCGTCGCCTATAAATTGTAATGCTGATCGATAAAGCGATATGGTTAACTGTAACACGACGAATTACCGGCTGCTACGTTTACGCTATCTTTCTCTCGATCAGTACTGTTTCAAATCTCTTCTCGATGGAAATACTTCTTCCACATTTATCGCCGAAAGTGTCGAATTCTTTCGCATCCTCTTATACTGGACCACTTAGTTGGTTCGGTAATTTGGTATAGGTCCTACTTTAGCGGTTGTCCTTTGGCAGCCAGGCTGGCGGGATATCGTTTCGTTCGCGCGCCATCGTCCTTTCAAATTGTCTTCTCTCTCTCTCGCTCTCTCTATTCTTTCTCGTAAATTCGCCGCTTTTTTTTTTCCACCACTGCTCCAACGCCATTTTTCTTCCCTCCTGGCCCGCCGTTCGGTCGGCCGCGGTCGTGTTCCACGTCTCCTCCGTTCAATGAGCACAGTCCATTTTGCGAGAGGATCTCTTAAGGAAGCAAAATGCTCGCGTTTTTCGATGCCCACTAGTTCACCGAGACTGTAGAAAAAAAAGAAAGTCCGTCGAAACGCCAGCGAAGTATCCTTCTTCTCGCCCGAGAGAACCTTTTGGCCTTTCAGTCGAGCAATCGACGAGTAACTTTCCGCCTCGGTACGTACCTCGGAACATGAGCATATTTACGCGTTCTTTAATCCCCTGAAAGAGAGTCGAAACTCGTCCGGCACTCTCGAAGCTGGAGCCCTCGAAATATAATTACACATCGCGATACAGTAACAAGAGATGATTCTAGAACGAACTAGTCGAAAAGATTTTTGCTTGCGAAGAACACCGTCTGTTTTGGGGGAAAAAGAGTCTCGAATGAGCGACTGGTCTCGAGTTCAGTGAAGTTGAGCGAAGCGAGTGATTCTAACGAAAAAGGTCCGAGAACAAGTACACGTGGCCGATGATTACAAAGATAGGTCAACGTTAGCCGCTTGTAACACGTAATAAGCCGTACAAGTCGAACTACATGTCGGCTAAAAAATCATTAACGCTTCGCGAATCCCGCGAGAATCGCACGGCTCCCTCGAGATTTTCCATGGGTTTCTCGTCTGGGGAGAGGAGAGTAGAACGCCTAGAGAGAATCTGTACGAGGACTAGCAGTCGTCTTGAGTGGAGGAGGACTGCAGAAGAGCCGCCACGCGTTCCGAAAATTCTCCCGATGTTGCGCCGGAGCACTGAAACAAAATCACAAGATAGTCTGGATTAGAGAAGGCGAGGCACGGTGTCGTTGAATAGAAAAGTCTATTTCGAATGTTTTGACCACCGTTTATTCAAGACGAATCCGCGATGCAAAGGGTTTGCACGTTAAGTGTATTAAATTAAAATTAATAAATAAATCAATTAAAAAACACGCAAGTATACTTGTCGTTCTGACGATTTCGTTCAGATTGGGATCGATTGCGATCGAGGCTCACCGCAGGATTGCGGGCGGCGGTATTGTTCAAACGATCTATCGGATCGGTAAAATTCTCCGATACGTTAAAGCAATCGAGCAAGAGGGGAGAGAGAGAGAGAGAGAGAGTGAGTGAACCCTTCGGGCAGGGCAATGAAAACTTGTAAAGTTCGTGGTTTTTCATTTTCAGGAACGGTGCGCCGGCCGTTCGGCCGACCGGCGTCGCTGAAAGCACAGGCGATGCTGATTTCCCAACGGGTATCGTCCATCTATAAATCTATACCCCGGGGTTGTTTAGTCGAGGCTGTATCCGCACGCCAGTAGCCGGCAACTACGGCACCGTGTATTTTTCATTCGACTCGACCGCCCTCCGGACCTTCGTCGGCCTTCGAGAAGGAAACTTTTATCTTATCGAACTTTATTTCTTCCGGCCTCGATCGACGCACCGAGGAGAAAACAAACGATTATTCCCCTACGATCGATACGTGCCACTAGGTCTCGAGGTAATCGATTCGTTGTAATCGACGCTGTATGTCTTGTACAGTGGGTCCCATTTTTTCACACCGATTTCCCACTTTCTTATGCGAGTAACTTTTTTCGATGTGTAGAGGTAATATGAATGTCAACTTTGTTTTATTAAATGGAATCGTATATTTTTTTAATGCACTAATTCGCCATAACTGACTTAGTATTTTATGTTTTAGTATTTAAGTTGACCTTCATTTAACCTCTATATATAGAAAAGAGGTACTCGCATAAGAAAGTGTGCCCCCTGATACCACTTAATTTTTGTCTGAAACATTTTTTAACATCGTCAACAGATTCGAGTGGGTCGATTTAAATGGCTTGATTAAATGAACGAATTGTCCGAATTCGTGGTACGAATGAGGCCAATTGCGCTCAAGGCTTTGTTTTTCGAGGAAACAGAATTTGAAAAGTAATGCGAAACGCGTGTATTCGGTAGTAAGTAAAAAAGGAGTGCAATGGACAGTCGCGTTTCCCAAGTCCTATTCAATTGCACTCGATTCCAGATTCTCAAATTCGATTGTCTCGAAAACAAAACCTCGAACGCAATTTCGTTATTCTTTATTTTCCTCTTAAGTCGTAATATCTTCTTGACCTCATTCGTACCACGAATTTTGATCCACTCCCTGTGTACATGCGTTCAGGAAGCTTTCAGTGGCAACGCAGTGTGTCCTACGCGTTGCCATCAACTTTGTTCACATTTTTCCGGAACACCGGAAGGAATGGAAAATATGCCGGCGAAATAAATTATACCGAACACACTACGAGTACTCCGAGCAACTGAGCAAAAAATTTCCGAGTTTTTAATCAACTTTTCCGCACAACGGAGTTTCCCGGTTCGTTGAGAAATTTATTCTAAAATACGTGGACGCGTGCATACAGGCGCCTCTTTTATACAATACATACGAGTATCGTCCGAGTTAATACAGCGTGTAATTGAAATCGCGAACAACGAGGTGTCCGAGAGACTAATCGACGATCGAAAAATGAAAAGTTGCGGTCCGTTTAATCGAAGTTCGACCGCAACGCGTTTCCGCTCCAATGAACGAACAGATAAAAAGTAGAGAGAGAGAGAGAGAGAGAGAGAGAGAGAGAGAGAGAGAGAGAGAGAGAGAGAGAGAGAGACAGACTGTCTCGGTCGAGTTACGATTCGCGCGACACGCAAATCTGTAAAATTGCGGCGACCCTGTGGTCCCCAGTATTTTCATTTCATCTACCGTTTCCGTTTCTTAATCGTAATAATATCACCCAGCTGGCTGCCGCGATGACATTATTATCGTATATTCATCTCGAAGATTTACAAGTTACAGAAGAGGGAATTATTTTTATTCTTATAGGTCTGAATAATATTTAAGCCATGTTTTACTGAATTTATGCACATATTGTTACAAATATATTGTAGAGTTTTTAGAACCCCTTCCAGTTCATTACTAGAGAATCCTGTTGCATTCCTCGTCCCTATCGCACGGAAGTTCTTTGAAATAGTTTGCGAAAAGAAGTTCGAAGTCGGACGGAACGCGACCGTCAAAGATTACGGAGATGGCACGATCTACTTCATGTATTTTCTTTTTATTTTCTTTTTTTATTCCGTGGAAAGGCAAGGCCGCCGGCCGAAAGCCTGGCGGTATTACGTAATTTTTTTCGTATTACTTCTTCACCGAGGGACAGGCGATCTCGAGAAACAGGGGAGGCAATTTCGCTTCGCGAGCTACCCTCCCTCTCGCTTGTTCCTTTCCGGAACGCCAACCGACTGTGAAACGCCAGGACGTCGACGCGTTACGATTCACGAGAGAAAATAATTCTGTAAAATTGCACGGGTCCGAGATACGTGTATCCAATGTCCCGTAAAACGTATCAACGTATGAAATTCACCGGCGACTTGACGGGAGTGAACGTCGAATGTAATTTACAAGTTTACGTACGAGAAAGACAGAGAGAGGGTGGAGAGAGAGAGATCGAAATAAAAACCGTGAGCATTTTCACCGATGTTCGAGGCGGTAATATTTGCAAAATTAAATTAAACACCGGGATCCGGTTTTTTATCGGACTACGAACGGGAAAAGCATATCAAATATTTATTCAGCCGGCCTTCAGCGATCCCGCGAACGCAAAAATTTTACCTGCTCCGATAAAATTCGCTCGGCAAAGATAAACCTCTGTTCAATCTTCTCGCGGATAGGACGGACTCTCCTCTCGCCTGAGAGTAGCCGGATCGAGCGAGAGTAACCGAACGGGACCGTTTGGAATATTGTAAAACGATGGATCTTGCATTCGGAGGAAAAATAGCGCGGATGGAAGCAGCCGTGTTCCGCGGAAGCTTTTTGTTGCTGCGGTTTCGTCCCTCTTCTCCTCTTTATTTTCTCGTACCGCCTTCGCTTTCCCGCCTCGAGGACAATTATACTAATGCTCTCGCCGGTGCTCATCTTTCCATGGTGACACTGTGGAAAGGGGTGAGCCAAACACGACGCAACTGGAAGCGAAAACAAACGCAAATGTCGCGAACACCTCGGTTATAAGTGAACGGCGATAAATGGACTCCGGAAGTTTTCCTTTTCTCCTGGGAGGATGGATGTTCGTGTATTCGGGTATTTAACCCTTCCGGAGTGTTTTTTTTTAAAGACGTAAGGTAGAAGCTTTACTGCGATCTACGCTATGAACCACAATTTTTGTCAGTGTGGATTTTTCCAAAATTATACGAAAATCGTAAAAATACTGAATCTGATTACATTGCATTCATTTAATTCATAATATTGAGTTTCATTTAAAGAAATATATTTAATAATTCAACACAGTATGGTACAACTCGAAGCATAGGACAACACATAATCCTACATCTCGGTTTTTGCGTTCATAATGCGCCAACTGTTTGAAATGAACAATGTAAAGTCAGCGCTTGTAAGCGTCTACCCCGTTCGTAGCGAGCAACGTAAAGTGAACGCCTGTAGGCGCCAACGGTATTGAAAGGGTTGGAAATTGACAGCTCGTCGACGTTCGTTTTCGCGAACTTTTCGTGGTCGCACGGAAATATCGTTGTTCTGCTCGACGATGCCCGTTTCCGTTGCCGCGGAAACGAAACGTTCGGCCGTTAATACGCCGCGTAAATTCGAAACGCAATTCACGGTATAGCACGTTTGAAATTGCTCCGTATCTCTTTTCGTGTTTGCATAAAATTAATTTACCGATACTAACTGACGGTAGGAGGAGGCGAGTTCGAAGCTCGTTCTCGCGATAGAAGCGCAGAATTGGCGTACCAGCCCTGTCCCGCGGTTTATAATATTTCGCCGTGTTTACGTAACGCCTTACGCGGCTGGGGCTCGAAACGAAACAGCATTCAACGGTGAACGGCGAATCGGTGGGTTCGCCACGGGTGAATTTCTATTCGTCGTGGCTGTTTGGTAAATTCGGTCTCTCTGTATACGCGTGCATCGAGTAACCGTTCCCGTCGCGCAATGATTGCCAATAGTAAACGCGGCTACGAGGCGTGCAAACGATAGTCAAACGGTATCGGCTTTAGTTCATATCCGTGCGATTGTTACGTAAACCGCTAGCCCAGTTCTATTACGAAACAAATGCGTGCGCGTTAAATAATTAACGTTTGCGCGCTTGCTTCGTGCGAACAGTGTCGTGCTTTGGCCCTCGATCGAGACACCAATTTTCGATGGTGGCGCACTTCGCTACGGCGAGAATAGTTTCGGGTGTAATCGAAGCTTTAGAGCGATATATTGCTCTGTTCTTTATTCATTTATAAACGGGGTTTACATAAGTGAGGTGTCGCGGGGTATACAATTAATTTTTACGAGTTGTCTAAATGTCTAATTCGCCTCGGAGAGCTTTCTGTATATTTTATTTAAAAAGGGATGTAGAGTCGTCAAGGAAATTTATCATGTGAAAGGAACAATCGAATCAACAAAAAGGACAATCCTTCTAAGATTTTTGCTGAAGAAATTTGTGCCGAACAGCTTCTAGTCGCCTTTTTATGGCTATCGTAGCGTGGAGACCAGATGGTCGATTGCCGTATTCCAGGTTATCGTAGCTCGAGAGCGGGATAGACATTTTTACAGTCCGTAGAGCTTTTATATTAGCACGTGTGCTAATATCACAGATACAAAAACATGAAAAATAAAAAGACAGAGAGAGCATAGGATATTTTGGGAAACCTGGTTCTTCGCGAGTGCACACGGCGTTTCCGCAGACTTTCCATTCTTAAAACGAACCGTATCAACCCTCGAGAAATCTTCGAATAGATTTCTCCGAGCT